CAACCTGCCTCCACGATACAGGAAAAAATTCAAGTGTGGGGGTTACGTTTTTATAAAATAATTATAAAAGAATAGTGGATATTAATGGGGTCGTAAATAGAAATACGATTAGCTTTATTTATTCTTTACATGCATCATAAACTAGAATAAATACCATTAATAAGAACTTAATTTATTTTAAAGTTAAAGGAGTTATAATCGATTAGTCTATGTTTTAAAATTGGGCATGTTTTAAAATTTTGATTTTAAAGTTTAGCAAAATATGTACTTGCATTTCTATCAGACATTTGATGTATATTAAAAACACCTTATAATTTATTTGGTAAATTAATTATTTTTTGTGAAAGACAAACACAATAGCAATAAATATAATTAACACTGACTTAATAATAGGTACTAATTATAACTTAGAACATAAATGAAAACTCATGACAAGGAAAGTGGCTCAGGACCATGCTTTGCGGCAGTCTGTGGAGGAGGATGTTCAGTAGTGGACTTGTGAAGATCTGTAATGATAATAATGTAAATGATGAGTCGAAAACTTGCACGATTGAATTATAAGAAGTCGACGTTTTTTTATAGGATAGGGTGACAAACGAGCACACAGTTCACCTGATGGTAAGTGGTTACTGTGGCCCACAGACATCTACATCTATCCTCGATTACGAATCAAAATGCATATGCGTTCTCACCCGTGAGGACTAAGATGAAATGCCTCGTTTCCTTTAAAAAGGGTCTCTGGTTCTCTACACTCACTATACGAAACACAGCATCATTAAGCTACTATTTTACGCTAATATTCTGTGAGAGCGTGGTCCTTCCCCCGGTTGAGCCGACCGATTCGTGCTACAACTATACTTCTTATATAACTGCATGGTTCTACGACGTATAAACGAGATGCTTCATTTTTTTTTCATTTTAAAATTGTTCTCTCAATAATCTGATTGTAAATAAATGTTCGTTATTTTTTTTGATAAATAGTTATTCGATTAAAACAAATGTTTAAAAAATAATTAAATCGCGCTAATTAAAATAGTTGGAATGTTTAAAGTTGAAATTGGCACTAAAAGGCTGGTAATTGGGGTATACATCCTACAAATCTTGAATATAAAATTTAAATCAGACGCGTGTAATCACTCTGGGAGCTTGTAGCAAACTAAACGCGCGGCAGTGTGGAGGGCGATTAGAAGCTACTCCACAGATGTTTATGCAGTACCCTATTACAGACCGAACTAAAGCATAGTATATTGAACGCAACAGAGGTAAATCAGCAGCATATCTTATGGTCAAGTGGGCGCCAAAAGCAGATTTTTCACGCTTTATAGGTGCACAGAAAATCAATTATTTGTCATTAAAAACTACGAGTTCATTGTGAAATTTAAAGATATTTCTTAGTGAATTATGGTGGCCAAAACATGATTGACACATTTTGACACACTCATCTGAGTTTTTGTGTATGCTGCGAATGTATTGACAGAATATTTTCAGGGAAGTGGACTTATTTTTAACGAGCGAGTTACACGTTTTAGTGTCGCACTCATAAGCCAATGCTACTTCTATGTTGTCTAACTTAGAGATATTTTCATTTACATCAATTACTGCGACAAAAGAATAATATTGAATATTTAATACAATTTAATACACTATAATATATATTATATATATTTAATAATTTGATGTCGAAAATGTTGATGAAATTTCAAATAATTTGATGAAACTTTAAAAATCACAGCAAAAATATGCAATTTACAACAAACGTACGAGGTACAAGCAAATTTGAGAATATCTTTAACTATAATTACAGAACTACTCAGCATATCACATCGTTTTGCTTGAATGCACGCTAAACTTTAATCTACTGTCGTAACAAGTACCTATATCTACTTTATTTCTTAATATTTTATTGTTAAATACCTATATATACTGCATATGTGATTCTGACATTTATATATCTACATACATTACTATTACTATTAATATGTCAAATCCAAAAATTATCGTAAGTTTAGTAAGTATTTTGAAAGAAGGGGGAATGAAACTTATTTATTCACTCAGAAGGTACTGCGCCATATATATGCAGAAAAAAGTTTGTGTGTGTAAGTTGCTGCTAAGGCAGGTAAAATAAAATAAATTTTATTTTTCATATAAAACACTCAATGATTGAATTTATACCAGACGGGATGCTAACAAGGTCAGTCGGAGTCAGTGCGTCATAATATGTATTTTCAAAGTTCACTTTGCATTTGAATCATGTTGATGATAGTTTAATTTTTAAACAACTTTGTTAAATGGCACATGGCTTTATTAATAATCTACAGAAACTAATAAATTCGGTAATTTGATAAATTTTTACTACGTTTTATTACTTACTAGTATTGTAATATTTACTGAAAGCTCGACTTAGATTTAGATTGTTTATGAACTTTGTGGGTAGAATTACTAATTTTGCAGAAATATAAATATATTATTAGTTGAATATCGACATTACACTATAAGGCTTTACTCAGTTATTTGTCATAGTTATAACGTACATTCAAGATATTTTTATAGAATGAGGGTGACAGACAAGCTCATACTCCACTTGATGGTTTTAAATAGATTCTGTGGCCCATAGATGCCTACATTTAACCTCAATTAAGAATCAAAATGGAGATGCGTGTCCCTCCCCAGATGACTACGGTGTAATCATATTAAAACAGAAGACTAAAAATTTAAGTTAACATCATTGTCATTTCAATGACGTTGATAATCATATTTGACTACAGAAATTCACTGAATGTATAACATACCCTTACTGGAGTTGATATTTGACAGTTTGACACATTTCAAAAGATTATTTACGTATCTACGTAGTTTAGATCAGTTAGTCCTTGTTAAATAGTTGGTCAGAGGTATCTATAATGTAAACAATAACAGAGTAATACATTGTATGGAAATTAAGTGAAAAATAAATTAAAATGTAATCTAAATAATCAACAATTTCTTTACCACTCGCTTAGAACGGATAGTAGGCAATAACCATACAGTCCTCGGGCTTTTAGAAGCTTCTACGGGATTTTTGTTATTCGATTTTGGTGTATGTGTTGACTTTGGGCCAGTGGAGATCAGGTCAAGATAGCGCAAATATTCCTCTTTATGACGAATTACCATCCGATTCTATAATTAATATATACCAATTGCGTGTTCAATATTTTGTAATTTCTATCCGATCCTATAATGAATATGCATGGTCACTGAGGAGGTCATTCTGTTCATACGCTCCATAATCTTGCAGAGTATGTAGGTAATTGATATTGGCTGATAATTGACAGTTTCGGCATGTTTGCTTGTTTTGGAAAAAGCTGCACGTTGGTCAGCTTCTAGAATTTTAGCACTATTCCAGTCCTAAATGAAAGGCGGAACAAGCCTATTAGCACAGGAGACTACTCAGCCTAAAGAACTATAGCGGGTATACCAACTGGTCCACTATCTTAATTCAAATCTAGACACCGCAAGATTTCAAGAACTTATGACACGAACTTATTTGTGATATGAACCTCGGACATAAAGGTCCTGAAGTTAGGTATTTCAGATGAGACGTTGTTGCCACTGTCCAGACGCTTTCGCACTTCTTCATACATAAGACTCACTTTCCCAATCCATATTGATTATTATATTTTATATTGATTTCAGGTTAAGTTTTTCATGTTGATAATCTTAGCGTATTTTGCAAGTTCTAAACGTTGTATCAAAAACACATATCACACTCGTCAACTTCAAATCATAGATATATGTTTATAAATCTATATAAAAATTAAATATGGTCTATGTTTAGCTATGGAAAAACTTAACCCTAAACATAAATAAGAAAATTCATTTATTCATTTACCACAACCTATCAAAAGTCCATCGCTGAACATAGACCTAGAATCTATGGAAGATTGGCACTTGGAGTTTAACTGCTATATCTGCCACAATTGGCAGGCAGGTTGGCAATCGCAGTACCTTTACTATTTTGATTTGTTACCAGAAAAAGGCTGCCGCCCATCTCGTGTTCAATTTTTTTGTGTCGTCTTTTACGATATGGCATAATGGATTAATATACGCCGTCCTATACAGCATAAATAAAAAATAGAGTGTATGAATTATTTCATTACTAGTCTTAAATTTAGAACCGTCTTTTAACTAAGTATAAATTTTTTTGAAGTCTTAAATATTAATTAAATATCCAACCTAGCAATTTAAAAGAGAAAGTTGTACACAAAACTCAATATTTTTGTTATTTGACTTATACTGGACGGAATTTGATAAGATTTTAACGCTATGCGAATGTCGATAAACGTAATTAAAATTTCATATGTAACAGAAGAGTGCGACAACATTTATTTTAAAAAGTATAAGTATAATATTTAATTGCATAAGAATGATAAAACCTAATACTGTTCATAACATCAAGAGTTTTTTTTTATATTTTATTGTTTTTAGTACTTTAACAGAATTTTTAACATCAACACGTACATACTTACGTATTTAAGTAACACGTCAGTAATTTCGTGAAGGTAAATTATTACAAAATTTGATATATTGACAACAGAGGTAGACATAAATCGAATATAATTTTATAAACTAACATAATGGGTATTTGAAATTGAAATAAAATTGGCACAATTGACTACGTAAAGAAATTTATGTAATTAAAGCGCTTAAAAACTATGTGGTATAATATACTGCTTGTGACCAGCGGTTTCTTGTTGCCAGTTATTATTTTGTTGCACCAGCATAGCATTCTGTTGAAGGTGTTGTTGTTGTTGATGTAACACCATCACATTGCTGTTGAAATCATATTGACCCTGAGCGCCTGGAGGCCTATTTATATCGTGGTATTGATTGCGATACGGATGTTGTCGTTGATTATTATAATTTTTGTAGTTACCTGAATCTCCAAGAGAACACGAGCGCCTGGTTTGAAATTTTGGGCGGGGATTAGCTTTCAAAACTCCAATGTTTGAAGCCTCTAGGTTTTAACCCTACAAAAAGAAAATAGATTTGTAAAAAAATTTATATATTATAATTAAGAAAGAAATATCTTTTCAATTTGAAATTTAATTTCTGATTGAGATTTACTATAATGTATAAAATAAGAGATATATTAAATGTACCTAAATATTTCAATTCATAAAGATGCATGTATTTACGTGTAATTAATACATTTTGTAAAGCTTTAATTATGAAGGAGGCAAAATAAAATTTAATAGTATTTGCATACCCTAGGCCAGTTGTTCGTGTTGTACATTTCTACGCCTTGAACTTGCTCATATCTGTTGTTAGATTGCTGCATTCTAAATTGTGATTCTTCGTGTTGCTGTTGAGTGGAAAATTGATACCCAATTTGTTGGTTCTGCCGAAATTCCTGTAGCTGTTTTATATGTTGAGATAATAAAAGCCTCGTTTCAACATTCATATCAATTTTGATATTAATTTTGTTAAGATCAGTAAAAGATATCTTATCTGGTAAGTTTATTGTAAAATTTACCATTTCATTATTCAAAATTTCACTAATAAACTCTGATAACAAAGTAAATGTTTTATTAAAAATGATCTTCATATTTTCTTCATTTTCGATTGCAGGATGTAGCATTTCTTTAATAACGGAGTTATACACATCCATGTATATTGATTTATTTTTTTCTGATTGTTTGAAAACTGCTTCGCAACTAGATTCATTGCCAAAATTTAATATATTTTCATACCTTGTGGTTTGTGGATGGTTATTAACCGAGCTATCATTGGAATTTTTTTGTGTTATGTGTGACAAAACTTTCATCATTTTATTTCTGATCATAATTTTAATGAAGTTGTATTCCTCAATAGAAATAACTGAGACTTCATCAGTTTGTGTGTTTACTGATCTTTTTTCGTCATTTTTATTGTTAAGTGTATTAATAATGCTGGAAATAGCCTTTTTTATAGCTTTATGTTCTTCATTATCGACGGTTCTATTTAAAAGTACCTTACATGTGATACATTTTAACTTATTCAAATCGAAAATTTCTTGATCATCAAAATTAAATGTAATTTCTGTCTTTTCACTATCAAAATTATCGTAAGGACGGTTTTGGTCAAAAGTTTCGTCAGAATATTCGACCTTTATTTGCTTCTCTACACTTTCTGTATTGCCAAATGAATTTGGTTCTAAATTTGGCTGTGATTGGTTTCTATATTTATTGTCTATATTGCTTTTTGTTAAGTTATACATATTTTCAAATTTCGGAGTTGGATTAGTTTGAAAAAAATCAGAAAATATTTTGGAGTTGGTTCCACTGAATCATTGATCTATTTTCCGGTTTCTTGAAATGTTGATGTTTGGGGCAATCTTGCGAATGTATGCTGTAAGACTGTATACGGTTGTTTATTTTATGATATCTGCAACAACGGAAGAAATATATTTTATTGTATTTTAAAATGGAATGATAGACACACATACGTCACCAACAAACCGTGGATGTCGTAGGAGGTGACTATTGGCAATGCCATTAAATACTAATGGCTTCCGATATTTAGCGGTATAACCACTTCGAGTACTCCAAACATCACAATCCTTACGCTAGCGACGGACAACAGAATCGAAAGTAAGAGAGCACATGGTACTGCGACCGTCATTCTGCCTGCCAAGCGCGGCGAGTCCCATATTCACCAGTGGGCTTTGGATCTTTTGATTTATGATGAGTTATTGAATAACAATGTACATAAGCTGCTTTTATATTGGAATAAACAATTATTTTATTCATACATTCATTAAAGCCCTTCACAAGACTACTGCTGATTATAAACATTCTCCAAAGAATGCCACAAAGCACGGTCCTGAGCAACCTGCATCCATTGACTATCTGCATGTCTTACCAAGTCGTCACTCTAACTAGTGGGAGGCCCCCCACACTGAACTTACTGGTGCGAGGTATTATAATAATAAATAGAACATAATAACAACAATACATAATTTTTCATTCCATTTTTCAATTATAGTAGTTATATTAAGTAATATAAAACCCACAAAAAGTAATTAGTACACATTAAGGCTCTTGTTACACTAAGAAAGTGCAATTTACTATCTCGGATTTTGTCATGGACTGTAGTCAAGATCTAGCCTATACATAGAAATACATAGCACTCCATATATTATTCTATTTTATTCTACTCTATTACTATTATTAATAGATTAAATATTCTGTACATAACTAGCAGACACAAACGCAGATATGTTATTCAGCTCTTTCCCGATATGTGTAAATAATAATTTAATAATCGCTGATAAGATAAGTAGTAGATAAGATAAGTAGCTTATCAATAACTCAATCACAGCGCCACCTATCAGGTTTAGATTTCGCGATTACCTTTTTTGGCATTACTTAATTTATTTTGCTAAGTCATTTAGTTCCATAAACAGAATTTGTTAATAACTTGACTACAGCGCAATCAATCGTATTTTAGGATAACTATGGAGCAACGAATTAACCAAAAGAAATTTTCAAAAATGAATTCAATCGGTCAATCGTTCTTCAAAAGTTTGAAATAAAGATTTTAGAATACAAAGCAAAACTAAATACCAAAGTTTTAAATACTCGTATGGTTAGTAAAAAAGAATATTAAACACACGTAATGATAACATATTATTGATAACGCTATATGTGAGATTTATAATACATGTTTTTTATTATACACTCCATAATTAGAATAAACATTTTTCTATTGAAAGAAATAGAAAACTTGGATCGTTGTTATAATATAAAGCTTAAGATACATACATTTATACCGGAAGTGAAACTTTTATAGATGGTCGCTTTGGCGCTCTATGTCTTTACTTATATTTTGTGTCATTTTATTCCTCTTCAGATTTCTGTGATTCCAACAAACTTACGTTTATAATCTTTAACGATATAATTTACAACTACAATGTCAAATTATTTTCAATAAACCTCGTAATTCTAAAAGTATGTTTTATGGTACAAAATTTTAATAAAACACAAAAATATTTTCAACAGAAAATAGATTTGAATTCAAAGAAGTATCGGATGCAACTATAATTTATCTAAAAATTACCTTTTGCGATTGTAGACTTGATTTTGATATGTCAGGAACCACCAATATTTAAAATATGCTTCTCAAAGTTTTAGCGCTGTATTTGCACTTCGATGTTGCCAGTTTGCGTTATTTCGCGCAACTGATGTGAGCTTCCGACTGCGATCTCCCTTTCATTTGAGGCAGGGCGGTGTAGTAACACACGCCCGCCCAATGCGAGGGCAGTGCTTAAGCTTAGTACGACACCCACCTCTTAGTTTCCTAATACCGATGCATATAGCAATATAGCAGGTACTTGTTTATTTTATTTTTATATAGTTCTCTACATATTTACTTGTCTTTGTCTAGATAAAGGGAGAACTTGGTTAATTACAATGTTTTTAATGATATTTTTATACGTGGTAGACCCACGCTGCAGGTATATTAGTTGTAGCACGAATGAGTCGGTTCAAACAGGGTAGGATCACGCTCTCACAGCATAACAGCTTAAAATAGCAGCTTAATGCTGGTGTTTTTCGTATGATGAGTCAAAAGAGATAAAAAATATTGTATTGGTAGCCGTGATGGCTTAGGAAATAATCATTAACCTTAAAATTTCATAGGTTGCAAGGAAACCGTTTTAGATCTCTTTCAGAACCAATACAGACTTATTATTTAGTTGGTATAAAAATATTATTATTTAGTTGGAAAAAAATGTATATTTGTAACTACGACAGAATACAGCACAATAAATTCAAGACCAAAATGTAAACAAGGGAATAAATGAAATTGAGCTGCAGCTATCATGAATGACTTAGTTTACACTACAGCAACATTGCCGCAGCACTGTTGAATCAAAGTAATTTTTATCATTTCGAAGGATGTAAAGTAAGTAAACAATGTAGTGCTGGTGTAAGAATATCCACTACCGCATATCGACCCGTGGGTGTCGTTAGAGGCGACAGAAGGGAACTGAAACAGGAACAGGAGATGGGCAGCAGCAGCTTCCTGATAACAACTCAAACTAATAAAATACTGCGGTTGACTACCCGCTCGCCAAGCGTGGCAACTGTGGCAAAATCCACTCTATGAGGCAATCTATGAGTGAGGCCTATCTTCAGCAGTGGTCTTTTATAGGTTGTGATGATGAAATTAAGTAAATTTTCGTTAAAGCAACGGAGCAGAATTTTCCATAATTTCCTTAAAAACGAGAGAAGGCCTATTTCTGATTATGAGTATGAAGGCTGTTAATTTTTTTATAGAAGAGCATGTGGCCCACCTGTTGGTATAAGTGTTGACCATCGCTCGTCGTTAAATGCAACACCAGGGGAATTGCAGATTTTTTTAAATAGAATAAGGGTGACATACGAGCACACAGTCCACCTGATGGTACGTGAATTTTGTGGCCCATTGAGGTCTATAAATTTATCTTCAATTAAGTATCAAAATCCAGATGCGTTCTCACTCCTGTGAACTGAGATGGAAAGCCTTTCCAGTAAATAGTGTATCCAGTTCTCTACACTCACAAAACGAAGCTCAGCAACAATAAGCTGCTACCCCGGACGAGCCGACTCATTTGTGCTACAACCATAATATTCGAATAGCTACGGCGTGGCTCTATTACGTACAAATCGTGTGTTCGTTGCAGGCTGTTAACATTGTTTTTGAGTAAAAAATATGTCCACACACTTTTCATGTTCAGTTTATTGATATCACTCCTATGAAATAAATAATTTTACGAAATTAGCGTTTTGCTTTAAAGTTTGTCATTTACCACGTTTCGGGAGATTTACAGCACCCATGGTCATGGCTTTTTATGCTACAAACATAATATAGATGCACCGAGGCTTTACCATGTACATGTTTTTCTTTTGTTATTTTTTATGTTAAATGTATTTTCTAGATGTCTAACAAGGGCGGTAAATCTGGGCAGTTTTAATTATTTTATAAGATTCTTCGTTTTGTTAATACCTAATATAAAAAAAATAGGAACATGGCAGAGGTAAATGTAGACTGTACAGTGTCAAAATACTTCCTCTATTATAATTATGCAATGGGAAACAAAGGAACACGCTGTTATAGACTAAACGCTATCCGGATATTTGGTATTCTTACACCGCCACTAAACGATGAGTACCCATCTAAACTTATTAGTATAAAAAAGTTTTTTTTAATAGGATATGGTGACAAACGAGCACACAGTCCACCTGATGGTAAGTGGTTGCTGTGTCCCATAGACACTTATATCTGTCTTCGATTACGAATCAAAATGCGGATGCGTTGTCACCCTTGAGGACTAAGATGGAATGCCCTGTTTCCAGTAAAAAGGGTCTCCGGTTCTCTACACTCACCATACGAAACACAGCAGCATCAAGCTACCATTTCACGCTGGTATTCTCTGAGAGCGTGGTCCTTCCCCGGTCGAGCCGACCCATTCGTGCAAACTTACTACTAATATAACTGCAGCATGGCACGTAGAGATAAAGAAAATTAAGTTCCGTAAAGTAGTTTTCTTTGCTCCTATGCTTAGATTGTACTGTGTCTATCGCTTGCAGTAGTCGTTTACCATCAGTTGTCTAACTCATTTGCTACCCTAACGTTATAAAAAATGATATTCATCACCAGGGATGATGCTTCATCTGAAATATTTAAGTAATATAAGGTTGACACACGAGCATAGACAGATACATTGTCACTCCTGAGGACTAATAAATTGAATGCTTCGTTTCTAGTTAAAAGGGTCTTGTGTTCTGTACACTAGCCTTACCGTCCGAATATTTCATATCTGGCATAAATGAGATGGTATAGCGCCGTCTATAGGACGCCACATATATCGGAACTTTATGGTATTTCCCATAGACGGTTTTTACGAGACCCGCGGAACGAAAAGAGGGGACGGATTTTCTTACAGCGCTACCATACGAAAAAAATTTCTTGTAGATATCCTATCTTATCCCGTGGGTGTTGTAAGAGGCGACAAAGAAAAACAAGCAAGGACCGGGATAGGCGGCAGCGTCTTCCTAATAACAATAAATGAAAATTGTGGCTGCGAATTCGCCTGCCAAGCGTGGCAACTGTGGTGAATACCCCCCCCTACAAGACAATCTATGGGGGAGGCTTATATAAGGCACTGAATTTTCATAGATTGTAACCGCAACAGTAAGGGTAGATGAGTACTTATTCCTTAACTAAAAATAGAAA